CTGTGAAGTTCTTCTCATATAAAGTCAGCGCCCGATCAAATCACGCAGTACCTTGAGCAGAACTAAATACCCAATGTTTCGCATCAGTTTTGACTATCAATCATGAGTTCTTCTAAACGCGATTCTTTGGACTTAAGTGCGAGGTTCTCACTCTTGACCAACAGAGCGCATTTATTAGTCACCTGATACGAGTAAGTAAAGTGTCTACAAGTGTAAGGTCCCTGGCATCAGCTTGACACTGATGGTCCTTGTAAGCGCATACATAGCGATATGCACTTCCATTACTGTGAGTTCCGTCAGATATCATTCTAGACAACTCATAGAATATTCTCTCGAGTTCTAAAGGTTCCGTTCACGTGACCTCTGATTAAAGTATATAAAGGTGGAATAGAACTCCTGTAGAGTTCTAGAGAAACCAGTGATCAAATAGTAATACATAACCCCTATGTCCCGTGAAGTCCCTAACAACAAGAAAGCTTCTTGAAGTCACCAAGAACAAAAATATGAGATAATTTCGAGTGTGGGGGCTTACTCTTTATTCCTACTACTGATGTATGGACTGCAGCGCTGGGTCTGCAATAGCCACATTGCAGAATTCTCTTTTCCACCAGGCACGAGACCAATGAATTCAACACAGGAATTATTTGGCAGAGAAAAGATAATGCAACAGTCTAAGGTGTCACATGGTATTGCTACATCTATCTGCTGTTTTTTTTCTGTGATTGAAAATCAGCTATCTCTAAATTTTTGTTTTGTAGATTTATACCCATACATAAAAAGGCTCAATCTCTTCGAACATCTTGATCAATTATTGGTTGATATGAGAATTGACTCTGCACCTGCGCAACCGCTCTCCACACCAATCAGGCCGTCCCCGCAGAGCTCAAAAACTGGGCCAGATCCATGCCTCAAAGTAGTTTCATAAATATAAACAGAGTGATCCGATTCGTATGCCATGGCAAGCTTGTTGTTTGTGAGAACCAAATATCGACCACCCTCGAACACTAAATTATTTTTCAGTTCATATAGAAGCGCCCCAACGCTTTCAGTAACCGATCCATCAGACTTAATATAAACATAAATGTCTTTAGAATTACTGTGCAAGTCACATATGGTTAAAGCCACTTCACCATCTTCGGCTGGAGTGCTGGCAAAGGCCAAAGAGAGCAAGGGGAGTACAGAGAAAATTTTCATATTTGGATTTAGTGTATGATTCTTTGCTATAAATTATTCAAAAGTGGGCAAAAATTACTCTTTTATATAGCTTCTTCAATTAAAAAAGTAATGTATTCTTGGTTGCGATTTTACACGGCATGGGTTCAGTTTGTAAGTTGATAGATAAAATGTTTTAAAAACAACAATAACTTTTGGATTTCCATTGTGATGGATTTTGTCGAGACTAAAGAGTGTCCATCTATTTTCCAATTATCTGGCATACGGAAAGCAGGCATTCTAAAATTAGCCGAAAGTTATGGTTAGATAGATGAACACAATTATTGAACTTAAGTGTGTATTAATCTCATATTTTGTGCACATCAGCTCCGTCATCAAACATGGTGCAGTGTAATTTCACAATAAACTGAGATGAATCATCAAGTTTGATGGCAATGGCTGTGTAAAAATATTCATTGAAAGCATTTGAGCTATAAAAGGAAACTACATGTTTAGATTGAGTATTCCCCGCAGTAAATTCTTTTTGTTTGAGTCGCTACTTCTACTAGATAGACGACAGCTGTTGCCTAAATTACTAATTTCAGTTCCTCGTGTGCAAAATATTGTCACGCGAAAAGACGAAACTTTAATAAGCTGTTGAAAACCAGGAATGTATTTTTAGATCCTTATACTTTCAAGCTCTATTCATGCGCACCTCTTCACGTTTCCATATTCGCTAGTTCCCATCGGCAGCAACGTATTCATTAAAGCTGAAAAACACGGGGTTAAGGATCCATTAGTTAGAGACGAGAAAGGTATGAATTTGTGTGTATTCAATCATTTTAACAAGCTAGGTGACATCGACTTTTATTCTCGTTCTATACGGAACTAATGAATGTGTTACAAAAAGCAAAGATAAAACGGGGCATTATTTCATAAGAGTTAAATTTTCTCGGGAGATACCTTTGTCACAAGAATTTCTCAGGAGCCTGTACTTACGGGCAAGCTTTAAATTGTGTTCTTTTATTTTTACACTGAAAGCTAATGTGACATGATCTTCCCACGGCGTTTGGAATGGACGAGAATTATGCCTGCTGCCAAGAAAAAAATAGGCTACCTATTGTCTTTATATAACGTAGAATCAAAACGGAACTTTCAATTGAAGAAATTCTCGTCTTGAGTTTTAATCCATGTAAAAGCTCACTTGAACCCGTTGTTTGAAGTTATATGTGTGGGCCGAAGATATTTCATGCAAAGCCAAATTTTGCCTTCATCAACAGGAAGAAAGATAATTCTTTTGTTGAGAAAATTTATTATTCACAAAATGCACAATCCAGCATGCTTTCAAGCAGCCGATCAAGCACATCCATATATGTTGGTAATCCTATCAGAGATTGAAGACCATTTTGATTCGCTGCAATATTAAACAAAAGTCTGAACTACTGTTTGGTGTCATTGCACAAAAGCTTACACCGCACTAAAGCTCTTACTTGAACACGATGAGACATCCTCAGTACACTCCGGAGCGATGGATCATTAATCATGGCTTTCCTACATGAGCGCCTAATGGGCAAACAAAGTTGAATGTGTGCTCCTCAAACTCAAGTGTCTTGCGAAGAGAAACGGCCGTGACATCTGCTGTGGGCTTGATGTTTCAAATACAGTCAAGAGATACCGCAAAAGTTGCTGTGAAATTGCTACTTATCGAATGAACAGAAAAGGTATTGAATGCAATGATTAATCTATTTAATCTCAGCACTTTCTGATGTACTACTACTGACTGCATCTTCATTACAAGGCTCACAGTGTGTCTGGTGACAAACTTTTCATATGTGACATAGCGTGATATCCAAGCTAGGGAAATTTCATCACGCTACTTTGAGCTTTTTAAGTGATAAGACATATCTTTGCTGTAATATAGCTGTGTGCGGGGTTCCTCTGCATCGAGAAAAATCTCTTATTAATTCACAGCTGCCAGGGATTTATTCTCAGACAGAGGCTCTCATCTCTACCCTGGGTCCAAGAGATCTCCTCCTCTTTCTCCATCTATCAGATGTTATGAATGTTCTGTCTCAGCAGCCAAAACCTGAATGAATCGGGTTGAGATTCTTATCGAAATACGAAGAAGTATGGCTTATGTAACTGAGAATCATCTATGAATGCGACGGGGGCTCTTTTTTTCATGGGTTCTAAAGAGCCCTTGAAAAGGGTCTTTCTACATCAGTATCTTTAGAATGAGAATTTGAGGCCACAATAAAAGCCCGCTAATGAGTAAAGAATCGAAAAGAATGGGCGGTGCAACTTACTGAGAGAAGAGAGGGCATCAAGTGAGATTTGGCTCTAGAATTGCTTACAAAAATTTTCGGAAAGCCAGATGTGGAGACTTCTGCAGTGAGGTCATTGCGCATGTTTCATTGATGTTTTACACGCAACTCAGAACACCCACTGTGTAAGATTCTGGTATCAGCTGAATACTGAGGGTCTGTTGAGTTTTGGACCCAAGGGGATATCCAGTCCTGATTCCTACATCTTGTGCGAAGCCATAAGCAGTTAACTCAAAAGAGAAAAGAGCTTCTACAGTGTTCCTCATGTGGGTTTTCTCCTATCTAATCTTATTGATCTACTTTAATCGTTCCTAAATTTACATTAATGGCTTTACATGACATATAAGTCGGGCCCTCTGCAGCGAGCCCCACTACTGTTCTGTTTATACTTTCACACCTTCTGTGTATAAGAAGTCGGGTCCTTTAACTCATAGAAAGACCGTCTACAGTATCCTTACTGACACGCATACTGTGTATACTTTCAACACCCGCTTAGTGCAGAGTGGACTTCTACAGGGTCACACTGTTGTATTCTGTTCGAAACAAAGGCTATGTTCATTGAAAAAGTAAGTCGATGTTTTGAATGGTCCAAGGCAATCTACAAAAAGTGAAGCAAGCAAAAAAATGACATGGTGGTGCTGGCATTGATTTTGAAGAAGGCTGTGTGGAATGGCATTGAGCTTTGGAATGAACCAGTGACCATGAATTACTATTTGTTGTTGTTCAGTTGGGGGTTCAAACTGTTCAACTCAGGTGCTGGAGCTCGCACTTCAAAGAAAACACTGTACGAAGCACTAATCTCTTGATGAAGCTAGATGCATAACTAATTATTCTCATTTGAACAGGACCAGACATTTGCCTACAGTTGGGGTTCGTCCTGTTGGCCATTGAAGAATTTCCACTAAAGTCTCTGGTGGGGTGAATATTGCATTGTGTAACCGTATGGTGTTACGTAAGAGAACAGTTGTTTGGCAGAAG